TACAATTTCTGACTAACGTTTCTTTATACAAATGTATATGATGATAGCACCAGCCTGACAGCCGAGTGTGATTATAAAGAAGGAAAATTAAAGACAACAGAACGCGTAGCGAAATCTGACCAGATTTGACACCATACGGGCGCCTAGCTATAGCACTTTTGTATAGTGTAACTACAATTTCTGACTATCGTTTCTTTGTACACATGTACATGGCGATAGAACCAGTCTGACAGCTGTAATATTATAAATAATGAGAATTGAAGATAACAGAAAGCGTAGCGAAATCAAACAAGATTTGGTTCTATACAGGGGCCTGCGGCACTCTTTTTATATTGCGAGTACAATTTCTGACTACCGTTTCTTTATACAAATGTGCATGACGATAGAACCAGTCTGACAGCTGTACAATATTATAAAGAATGAGAATTAAAGACAACAGAAAGCGTAGCGAAATCAAACCAAATTTGGTTCCATACAGGGGCCTACGGCAGCTTTTTATATTACGACTACAATCAATTTCTGACTACCGTTTTTTAATACGAATGTACATGTATGAATTGCAAAACGTCTCAAAAAGAGTTACCTTCGCGAAACAGCAAATGAAAATATATAGCCGACTTTATAAGAAATTGTACATTTTGATCGTATTGCAGCGGACAGCAAGATACAATTTCTGCGTTTACAAATAAAGGTAGATGGTGGGATCCCTGTGAGACGACACAGGTGGGCGGGAGAGTGACAAACGCTCGACTGATGTTGACAGAATAAGGGCGGGTGTGTTCGTGTATTGTCAGTGGACACTGAGGCCATGTTGATTTGATTATATGGATGACATCCTATGGAACCCCAAAACTGATGCTAGTGTGCGAATAAAAAAAAGTTTGGAAAAAAAAAGTTGATTTCAGTATGAAGTCTACATTGTCATGAAGGTTGAACTAATGACACAGAATATGGTATGGCGAATAATCTACTGTTCAAATTCATTTCTTGACATTTTCGTCTTTTTCGTTTGATTTTCGGATTCTACGACATTGGTATCGTTTTCCAATATTTTTTGGTGCAACTTACGGTATATATTTGCTCATTTTGCAACTGTTTTGTACGATTTACAGCATGGTTGAAAACTTTGTTTTGGAAACGGCCGAAAATTCATGCGTGCGCGGATGTCATCCATATAATCAAATCAACATAGCCTGATGGGCAGTGCAGCCAATACGACGTGATTTAAGAGCGAGTCAAAATTATGAACCACTAACCATGTGCAGGATTCTAAAATGGCCCTTAAGAGGGTCGCTGTCCTGGGAAGATAAAAGACAACTTGCACGCAGGTTGACAGTCTTAACTCTCATATCTGTGGTAAATAAGACTTACTGATGGAACCTGGAAAACCATTTGGCCTGGGCAACCGTCCCATTGGGAAATATGAAGCCCAGTGCACTTGTAATTGCAGCAATACATCAGCAAACAATGCATGACGGATTGAAAAGAAGGCTCCGTGCAATGAAGGATTACGGAGGTAGATCAGAAACTAACCTGTTTGAAGATTAGAAGTAACGGCAACGTTTTTTCTAAGAACGTTTATCGATTGCCCGTACCGCGGTCTAAATCCAAAAGCAATTTCAACTTTGCTTGTAGTAATCTGGTTTCCATCAACACCAACGTTTTAGTTCAGAGATAACACTATTAATAGATGACTTGTTGGACAGAGTGCAGGTAGACCACCAGAGATGGATGGGAATATTCTGGTCACGGCAAATCGTAATCCTGGCGTTCTTAATCATCTAACGATCTCAAACATACCTTTAACCTTACTAGATATGAATTTGACCTAGTCTCCACCAGAATCCAAAGTTGGTCTCCGGTAGAATGCCGGCCATTGTCGAGGTAGGACGAGTGGGGTGACAGAGGCGCTTGCTTTTAGACCCTTTCAAATTTCTGCTAATCCCCGAGCACCTCAACGGCTCAACTTGAATACTAGGATATTTCCAAAAGTAGTAACATTTTAAGCATTTTTGGCCTTTCATGATTCGATGTCAAGCTCATAAGGTATAAAAAGCAGGATCCTGTATATACGTGTGATCTGTTATGGCATGCTTGGGCGCTCAGTCACATAGAGTAACTTCCGATTCCAGAAACTATGGGAGGATTGTACTATCGAATCAGCAGTTACAGAAAGGACGTAACAGCCTGGAAAATTGTATTGGTCCACGTTTGCGTTCTAATGTGCTATTGCAGAGATACAAATACGTACACAGCTGCGTTTACAAGGTGCTTTGGTTAAGAGGCTCTTGTGTTTATGGTCAGTAACAGCGGGCCTTGCAATTGTGTTTCCCCTCTAAGTCAAAATGAAATCGTAGATTTCAGAAATTCTAATTGGTCGTTTGAGGTGGTAAGTAGTTCATGTTGTCCCTTGCCAGTCATTAGGAGAGGTAGTGTTATTTTTGGTACTATATATATATGCGGGCATGGCACAGCAAGCCACCTTGTTCCTGGATTTGATTGAGCTTTCACTGGGGCACTGGTGACGTAAAAAAGCAGCATGACCCACGGCAGCTTCAAAACCTAGAATCTCAAGCATTTAGTTCACTCATGCGCGGTACTGTCGCCTGGTTGCATTACAAAAGGAAAAGTCAATTTTTTTTTAAAACTGCATGCGGCCCAGAATAAAAAGCACTAAAAAAATAAGGGTAGCAACAACTACAACAACAAATTAAAAATTCAGCTTATGGTTGCATCGCGGTTTTCATTTCTATCTTGAAACTTGAAACTTTATTTAGAATAACCATTAGCGGTGGGCCTAAGGGGTGCACTGATAGTCTTCCTAGCATTTATATACATACAATACTTGACAGAATCACTAGACAATATCTACAACGTATTTAGAAAATTATAATATACAGTTATTTAAAATCCTGTTACACAAGTGCTAGTGGAAAGAATCTTATCGATTGTGTGGATTGCACAACAAGTGGAAGGTCATTCCACACACTTACAGCCCTGTACATGA